GGTTATGAACACTAGCAGCGTGTGGTGATTTACCATAGTTGGTTGTGAACACTAGCAGCGTTTGGTGATTTACCATAGCTGGTTGTGAACACTAGCAGCGTTTGGTCATTTACCCTAGTTGGCTGTGAACAGTAACAGCCAAATATGAACAAGGAACTTGTTTTTACACTCTTTGTACTTACAGAGTGACCAAATATGAACAAGGAACTTGTTTTTACACTCCTTGTACTTACAGAGTGACCAAATATGAACAAGGACTTGTTTTTATGCTACTTGTACTTACAGGGTGACCAAATATGAACAAGGAACTTGTTTTTATGCTACTTGTACTTACAGGGTGACCAAATATGAACAAGGAACTTGTTTTTATGCTACTTGTACTTACAGGGTGACCAAATATGAACAAGGAACTTGTTTTTATGCTACTTGTACTTACAGGGTGACCAAATATGAACAAGGAACTTGTTTTTACACTCCTTGTACTTACAGGGTGACCAAATATGAACAAGGAACTTGTTTTTACACTCTTTGTACTTGCAGAGTGACCAAATATGAACAAGGGACTTGTTTTTACGCTACTTGTACTTACAGGGTGACCAAATATGAACAAGGGACTTGTTTTTACGCTACTTATACTTACAGGGTGACCAAATATGAACAAGGGACTTGTTTTTACACTCCTTGTACTTACAGAGTGGCCAAATATGAACAAGGAACTTGTTTTTACGCTACTTGTACTTACAGAGTGGCCAAATATGAACAAGGAACTTGTTTTTACACTCCTTGTACTTACAGAGTGGCCAAATATGAACAAGGAACTTGTTTTTACGCTACTTGTACTTACAGAGTGGCCAAATATGAACAAGGAACTTGTTTGTACGCTACTTGTACTTACAGAGTGGCCAAATATGAACAAGGAACTTGTTTTTACACTCCTTGTACTTACAGGGTGACCAAATATGAACAAGGAACTTGTTTTTACACTCCTTGTACTTACAGGGTGACCAAATATGAACAAGGAACTTGTTTTTACACTCCTCTAATAAGTTTGTTTATACATATTATTCCACATATCTTAATCACTACTGTACACATACAGAGGTTGAACCCCTGGCTTACATTAGTGACCTTCCAGAGGACGAAGTGTATCATGATAACTGATTTTTCTGTATGTTTCATGATTTTCTGTTAACATTTTATATTTCTGTACACAGTCCAAGGCCGTCCAAATAAAAATTATGAACTGTCCTTATCAGTGTCTTAACACAGATCCACTGGCTCACACTACTATTCTGAGACGAGTGCTCTGCCAACTGATATATATATATCAAGGTTTGAGCTGTCCCAAGCAGACAACTACCCACCCAGTTAATCTACCAACTGATCTATATAAAGGTTTGAACTGTCCCAAGTAGACAACTATCCACCCAGTTAATCTACAAACTGATGTATATCAAGGTTTGAACTGTCCCAAGTAGACAACTACCCACCCAGTTAATCTACAAACTGATGTATATCAAGGTTTGAACTGTCCCAAGTAGACAACTATCCACCCAGTTAATCTACAAACTGATGTATATCAAGGTTTGAACTGTCCCAAGTAGACAACTACCCAGTTGATCTACCAACTGATCTATATCAAGGTTTGAACTGTCCCAAGTAGACAACTACCCAGTTAATCTACCAACTGATCTATACCAAGGTTTGAACTGTCCCAAGTAGACAACTACCCACCCAGTTAATCTACCAACTGATGTATACCAAGGTTTGAACTGTCCCAAGTAGACAACTACCCACCCAGTTAATCTACCAACTGATCTATACCAAGGTTTGAACTGTCCCAAGTAGACAACTACCCACCCAGTTAATCTACAAACTGATGTATATCAAGGTTTGGACTGTCCCAAGCAGACAACTACCCACCCAGTTAATCTACAAACTGATCTATACCAAGGTTTGAACTGTCCCAAGTAGACAACTACCCACCCAGTTAATCTACAAACTGATGTATATCAAGGTTTGAACTGTCCCAAGCAGACAACTACCCACCCAGTTGATCTACAAACTGATGTATATCAAGGTTTGAACTGTCCCAAGTAGACAACTACCCATCCAGTTGATCTATACCAAAGTTTGATCTACCAACTGATCTATATCAAGGTTTGAACTGTCCCAAGCAGACAACTACCCACCCAGTTAATCTACCAACTGATCTATATCAAGGTTTGAACTGTCCCAAGCAGACAACTACCCACCCAGTTAATCTACCAACTGATCTATATCAAGGTTTGAGCTGTCCCAAGTAGACAATACCCAGTTGATCTACCAACTGATCTATATCAAGGTTTGAACTGTCCCAAGTAGACAACTACCCATCCAGTTAATCTACCAACTGATCTATATCAAGGTTTGAACTGTCCCAAGTAGACAACTACCCATCCAGTTAATCTACAAACTGATCTATATCAAGGTTTGAACTGTCCCAAGCAGACAACTACCCACCCAGTTAATCTACCAACTGATCTATATCAAGGTTTGAACTGTCCCAAGTAGACAACTACCCATCCAGTTGATCTATACCAAAGCTTGAATAGTCCCAGAACGTGAGTGTTTTAACTGAATAGTCTGTTTTTTAAACATTATTAGCCCCTGATTTTACTGTGAAATTAGGTATGATGAACCTTTTAAAATGGATCATTACGTTATTCTTATATGAAAAATAATACTTTAATAATGTGACCAGTAATCTCCTCCCCCCCCAGTTATTTTATCTGTGTTAATGTTAGTTACAAAACCATTAGCTGTTGCTATGTTGTTTTTTGTTTCTAAAGTCTGGTAAACAGAAATCTTTCTTGCGTAAATCATTGAAGTAGCCGCTAGACATGTTAATAAAACAAAAGAACTTTGAATAACTACAATGTTACTTTCCTATCCAGCTTAAAATACCCACTTAAATTAGTTCCTTCTGTTCAGAAATAACATGTGAAGAGCATTGTTTCGTACAAGAACAAAAACCCAAGGTTTTAGCTTCCGATGGCTAGTAAACGAGGATAAAATGGCTGCACAAGGGATGTTTGTGACCACGAATAGGATAAAATCAAGACCTTTGAGTATAGTGTCATAGTGTAGAGGAATCTGCTTTTCCCTTGACAAAATGTACCAATGGATTACTTGTTAGCATCTAACGTTGATTTGTCGACATTTGAATTATCACTTGATGTTTCTTAAATTATTTATTTTGAAATTTTTTTCATTCGTAAGATCTTTGTGCTAACACAAAAATTTTCATTAATGGATTCTTAAGCGAAAATAAAACATTTGGAAATATGGCAGGGCTTTTGTTGTTTGCGAAACTTGTTGAAGACCATTTTTGATAAACTGTTGATTAACTTCAAATATTTAAAGTATGACTGTGTTTATATAAATGTTCACTATCAAATAAGGTTTGTTCGTTTTTTATTTAGACAATTTGATAATTGTTAGGACTTGTACCTCCTTATACCCCACCCCAGAGGGTGTCTGAAGAAAAAAAGATTGAGTTGCACAGAGGTACAGTTTAATCTGAGTAGATTAGGTAGGGAATTAATTTGTTTTATATAACGAGCATAAGGGTTATCCAGATGTTTATAGTTAGTCAAAACAATGATTAAAGTTGATCGACGATGATGCCTCAAAGTTTCTTTAGTGTTAAAAGAAGGAAGTACATGTGATGTATGAAAGTTTCTCTGCCAATATAGGTTTTTTAGTGTTAACAAAAGGAAGTACATGTGATGTATGAAAGTTTCTCTGCCAATATAGGTTTTTTAGTGTTAACAAAAGGAAGTACATGTGTTGTATCAAAGCTTCTCTGCCAATATAAGTTCTTTAGTGTTAACAAAAGGAAATGCATGTGATGTATCAAAGTTTCTCTGCCAATATAGGTTCTTTAGTGTTAACAAAAGGAAGTACATGTGATGTATCAAAGTTTCTCTGCTAATATAGGTTCTTTAGTGTTAACAGAAGGAAGTACATGTGATGTATCAAAGCTTCTCTGCCAATATTGGATAAGGCACGATGTGTTTTTACCTTTATTTATTATTACAATTATTGGATAAGGCACGATGTGTTTTTACCTTTATTTATATTATTGTTTTGCAGGTTTTAAGTTCATGGACTCTGAGCTTTTGGTAGAACCGTCAATTCCCCAAGATCAGAAGTAAGTGTTCTATTAGTACAACTAAAGAAGGAACTTCAAAGTGAAAATACCATTAGTTGTGACTGCAAAGTGTGAATTTGTTGGAACTACGTATCAACTAGCATTAAATAACCTATGATAGATATTACGGTTTATTTATAGTAAATTATAACACATATTGGAGATAGCTTATGAAAAGGGCACAAGTTCATAGGTAAAAGGATTGCAAGAAACTGTTATTCATAATTTGTACACAAATTAGATAACATAATTAAATAAAATGTCAGAACACGTATGTTAACTTAAAGTTGTAACTAAAGTAACTACAATAGAAACTAATCAGTCGTTTAGCGGCAGTAAAGTCGAATAGGCTTAACGTTAAGTAACAACATCCTAGCCCGATCTTGCAGTAACATTATCATCATGAAAGTGTTAACATTTTAACTAGCGAAATTAAATATGCTTCTTCTTCATTGTCTTCGTGTACATTTGATTGAGACGTATAACCCAGTGTAGTAAACAAATTTTAGGTATATTGATACGTGCTTGTGGTTTAAAATAGTAATACATATTGATTTCTCTTTGTGTTGCCTACTTATCCAACTTACTAGATCTTTCGTATTTATAATCGAATTTTTGTTATACGTGTTTCTCAAAGTCTCTCCTTCATTAATATCTCCGAATCTCTGACTGAGACTAATTTGATGATGACGTTATGTTCCTTAAATTATGAAATTGCAAGTTTAGCTCGTATAACAATAACAGAAGAAACGAACACGTATCCAAATTTATTGAGACAGGAAACCAACCAATTTGGTCTTAGATATATAAATACTAATTAATTTCAGTTCAGTTTTAAAAATAAGTCACTTGATATTAACGGTCTCTTATTGATTCATTCAAATGTTAATATATCTCATTTATTTGATACTTGGAAGTTAATTTGACATTTGGTAAAAATGTTGTCACCGTCTCTGTGAATAAAACAGAACGTATAAGTAAACGCCTAGTGAGCCACGAATTCATGGGTTGAATCGGTATCTGTATTCCGTTTAAACAAATCGACTTATAAATGTATTTAATTAAAAGAGTAACTTGTATACGGGGGAGTAGGGGAAGCTTTTTAAAACTATTACATTATGCAAGATTTAAATTAAGAAAATGAAAGTACGGATGACGTCACCACATACGTAAGGAGGGGTGGGCGCTGTAGTTAGTACTATGCATTGCAAAATGGAAGGTATTGGGGGAATGAATCTCTCATTCGTAGCAGCCCCATCTCGGACAGTAGTGTTTATATGTTAAAGATTTGTGTCGTTTCTAGCGTTGCAAGCCCTCGGACATACCGCTATGCCACGTGGGGGGTTCATACTGGAGGGACTTTTGGCAATACAGTTCGAAAACAAAAAACGGCCTTTGTTGTCCAGATAATACCAATAAAAAACTTTCAACCAACGTTTACAGTTTCATCAAGCCTACAAAGTACAGTAACTGTTTTTACTACTTGCCCTGATGAAGCAGGAATAGCTAAACGTTGACTGAAATATTTTATCACTATCTAAAGACTAATGGCAGTTTTTTTTTTTCTCTAGCGTTATAGGATTTCTTGTTTATAAATGTTTGATACAACTTTGTAGTCCAGTAAATGACCAGAAGATGTTTGTTAATAAGGCGTATATCGATGTCGTGTACTTGAAAGTGTGGTTCAGACAATCTTATCCATTTCTACATTACAACTGTCTCCAGTTCATATTTCTACATTACAACTGTCTCCAGTTCATATTTCTACATTACAACCGTCTCCAGTTCATATTTCTACATTACAACCGTCTCCAGTTCATATTTCTACATTACAACCGTCTCCAGTTCATATTTCTACATTACAACCGTCTCCAGTTCATATTTCTACATTACAACTGTCTCCAGTTCATATTTCTACATTACAACTGTCTCCAGTTCATATTTCTACATTACAACCGTCTCCAGTTCATATTTCTACATTACAACCGTCTCCAGTTCATTAACACTTTGGATGGTGAATCACGTGGTGCCAAGCATCCTTCCAGATCATCCCATCCAATCGGATCCAAGTCCACATCTTCTTCCAGGAAGTTGCCAGCCAGTTGAGGATGATAGGGACGCTTTTTATCACCCATCAGAAGAAAGTTCTATCCAACAGTAATGGCGTTTCTTTCTTCCCTGAAATTAGAGTTATATGTGGTTCTCCTCAAATATGTCAAACTTCCGATTACCTGACCACATTCTTGACATTAGTGAAGACGAGCTGTTGTTTTATAACGGGATTCTAATACTTGTCTAAGTTCCAGACTAAGTGTTGTACGTGTTTGGTAGGGCTTAGTCTGGAACTTAAATAAATATTATATATTGTTGTACGTGTTTGGTAGGG